GAAAGGAGTGTGAAGGGCCAGCTTCCCACCCACAGGTGGCCATGGCAGCAGAGCCAGGCCTTGTGATGCCCGGTCAGTAGGCCAAGTGTCCGCAGGATCACAGCGGACAGGCAGACAGCGGTGCGTGCACTCTCCAGGTCAGATGCCTCCTCTGGGCTATTTCTGTGATGCACGGGTCAGAGCAGGTCCAGACAGGTGGGAAATGCGGTCTGCAGGGGAGCTGCACGGAGCAGCCACCTTCTTGGACCCTCTGTGTAGGGGTTAGAGCTTCTGGAGACCCAGTGAGAGAATGGGGGGATGAAAGAGTAAAAAAAATGTGAGGGTGGCTGGGGCAGGGGGTTGGGGCACAGGCAGGGGCTGGGGCAAGACGGTGACTTGATTCTGGGGTACCCCCTTTAATCCTGCTCTGGGCCTGGGCTTTAGAGAGCCTTATTTCGTCCATTTCCAATGGTGCCCTCCCCAAAAGGTGGGGAATCCGAAGAGCCAAGGAACATACTCATCTAGATTCGTTTTTTTTTGTTTGTTTGTTTGTTTGTTTTTTTTAGATTAGCTGTTCTTAAAGTGGATTCCCCAACCAGCAGAATAGCATCATCTGAAATGCAAATTCTGGGCCCATCACAAACCTCTTGTGCTCAAGAGAATTTACATTTTTAGCAACTTCCTGTGTGATACTAAGGATGCAGATGGAGGGTTCTCAGCAGAGTTAGGGTTTGTTTGTTTGTTTGTTATTTATAAATCTAGTGGGTTGAGAGCTACTACTCTATAGCGATACTCCAGCCACAGAGTTCTTGCCCAAATAGCGTGAGCCCACCTCCAGGGCTTGGAGAGCTTCTCCATCAGACCTGTCCTCATAAGAGTGTATCACAGCTCCGATGTGCGCACCTGTAGCCTGGGAGCTTGCACCTGTGGGTGCGGGTGCCCACATGCAGGTGAAGTCCGTCAGACATGGAATGGAGCTGGCGTGGGAGGAGCAGGAGCAGGATGCAGGCGGAAGCCCTCATCTGTACTCTTTCCCATGCCCTGGAAAGACTGAGTGCCTCTGGTTGCAGAATCTCTCTCTGTAGATACTTTCTCCTGTTCTGACCACTCCTGAGGACCAGAGAAATGCAGGCTAGCCATTGATTAGCCCACTTAAAAAAAAATGCAAACAGAAGCAGGCTGATCTCTCCATATTGCACTAGAGAGAAATAAATCATCCTTTATACCTGCCTAACGTTCTCCGGTCATTGACAAACTCTCCTAAGAATTATGTCAGCGGACATGGCTTTTATCCTAGCAAGCCCTGCAAATACAGTTTGGATTATATCACATCTCTTATACCCTGGAAACTACTGGTTGCTTTGAGATCCTTGTACCTGGACTATAATGGGGAGGCAATGGGGCAATGAAGCTTAGGTTCTAAATCAAGCATGTCAAACTCAAAGGCTAACAACGGCTAAATAAACGAGGTATTCAACCCCCGGAGCTGCGAGTTTGACATGTTTGGGCTAAATGTTTCCACTTTGGAATTAAATAGACCTAGGGTTGGATTTCAACCTCACCACTGACTACTAGTTCTCAGCCTTTGGTAATGAACTTAATGTCTCCAAGCCTTGAGTTTCCCCATCTGTAGAATGGGAACTGTTCTGTGCTTGTGGATAAAGTAAGGGTGAAAAACATGTCAGCCAGCCCTCAGAACATTTAGCTGGTGCAGGAAGTTTCTTAGGTTTGTCCCTCTCACCACATCCTTGGTTTGGGGAGAAATATGAGAGGCAGGAAAGTGAAGCCTAAGGCCATAGGTCCAGAGATCTGGGTGGTTGCTGAGCATCGTCAGACACGGGTTTCTTTAAAGGAGGAGAAGAAAGTGTGCTGAATTCCCACTGATTTTCACGTGACCCTGGTATTTTTGAAGGTCTTGGCTTCTATAAATCAGCTGCCTCCAGGAGCGTTTCCCTTTTCACCTCTCTAACCCTTCCTGCCACTCCCCTCAGGTCCGGACTTGTGTATGAGAGTGAGGCAGCCAGCCCTCTGGTCGCCCCGAGTGAGGACTGGGTGTGGCCGAGGCTCCAGACCTGGTGCCCTGGGGCCACATCTGGACTTGCAGTGAGGGTCCAACCGGGGACCCAGTGACACTTACTATTGAAATTGACCCACATTTTACTGGCTTCTGGGGAAAGCTGGGGGCTTTGGGGATTTTTGTATTTGCTGGGTTGTAAATATTTTATGAGAAGGCAGCCCAGAAAAATCTGGTTAGCTTTCTGCCTTGCACATTGAAGTGGGGCTGGCTTTATAGACAAATGTGTCAAAAAAAAAAAAGTCCAGTTTTGTCTTCATCCCAAAGAATTCACTTGGGATTTTAAAAGCCTGTTATTCCCTCACACACACACACCCCCACCTTCCCACCCCCCACTCCACATA